TACTACTACTACTACTACGACTTCAATAACTTTGCCCACGGATACTCTTACCCCCCACTACTATTATAACTGCTACAACTGATACTAGTACTCCTACTGATGCCACACGTGTTATTGTATCTAAATTTATTATAATTAGTACTATCACAACTATTCCAAAAGTAGTAATGCCACTAATACAAGCCTAACCGTTTCCATTGCCTCACTGCTACATATTGTACTTGTCATTATCCAATTTCTACCCTTCCTTCCATCATCAAAGTACTCCGGCAAAATTTGCTCATTATAACATTTACTACTTATCGACTGTGATTATTTCCCCTATCGCCACGTATTCTCTCTGGCTCAGTTTAGTTCGCATGGCCAACCGACGTCCGCAGTATTTGAGTTCACCAGAGAAGGTCGTGTGGGACAGACATTCGTGGCCTCCTGCTAACTACTCAAGTCTGCGTCAGAAGATAACTTTAAGCGACTAGCCAGTAGAAGCCAAGGAACATAAATAATTGGACCTGAAGGCAGATGTTGCAGCACAGACTTACATGGCGTCATGTTGCCGTAGCGGTTAAGCTTGGGCACCGTGGCAGCCAGATCCTCTGTCAGGTGGTATTCCAGTATCTGCTTGCTCGCCAAGTTGCCAAGTGCCTGTGCAGAAGATAGAATACAGCTTAGATGAAGGGAGCAGAAGTAAAAATGTGGACTCAGTGCAATTGGTTGGGTTTTAGTGAACTAGATTGTACAGTCGCCGCTCACCAAATATTCCTTCGCGGCCTCAGCATCCGACTGCATTCTCTTAACGTGACGGTTGAAGTCGGCGAAGTTTATTGGCAGAGGGCTGCGGATTGAGAATAAAACCAAAAGCAAAAGTGACCAATGAAGGAATTAGTTGGGTGCGAATGTGCAGTAAACTAATACGGGTAAGCTCTGTGTTGATAGGAGGCAAACTCCGTTTACATTCTTTCCTTACCCTGGGGTATTTGGAGACAAATTTAAGACCTTTTTCGAACACTAGTGGTTTGCGCATATTTTCTGTTCTTGTTGACAGTTGAGATGCGGACTCCCATTTTTTTAAGACACTTAAATATATAAGCTGATCGATCTCATGAAACGCTCATCAAAATGCTTTAACTGGTTTTCAGTTAGAAAAGCTCAATAAGCCGGATCGGCATACTGATTAACAGGCAACTTAAATCGAAATTGCGTGTATCCCTTGAGCAGCCCGGCTTTCGAATGGACCACATTTGGGAGAAGAAGACTAGAAAGAGTGAACGCCTTATTGTTAAAAGGAAAACCCCAAAAATTTCAGCAAACTAATCGGGTACTATGAATTTTTCCCAATGAAGTTTGATGCCCTGGCAAATTCTGTTCAAGAGCTTTTTAAAGACGTTGAACATTCATTCATTATACATCGTATCAGTAAATTTAAGAACATTGACTATAAATTATACAACATCTCGTACATCCATTGCAAAAATCTTATAAAAACCAATGCGACCCCTTCTTCATTTTGTAAGGAAATATTGGATTTTTTGGTGGACGTTTTACAGCACGTAGTTTAGGGTGCATGCATGTATCACCATATTCTATGGGTACCTGTGATGAAGAGCTCGAGACAGAATCCAATTCGTCAGGCAAATAAACTTCTTCTGTCGGTGATCGCATCTTGCACTTTCGAGGACTTAATTTATAGAGGTTGAATGCAAATGGAACATTCAAGCGTTCTTCTCCTTCTTCTTTTCCTCCTCAT